ATAAATATTTATTTAAAATTATATGAAATAAGATTTAAGAAAATAAATAAATAAAAAAAAAGATATTAAACAAAAAAAAATAACAAAAAAACCAATTATAATATAAAAAATATCTAATAAACATTTTACTTTAATAATTCTATTCTTTTAAAATATAATAATTTTTTTAAAAATAATTAAACTATAGTTCAAAATATATAATAATATTAATAGTATATCTTTTTGATAGCTAATTGGATATGGTAATTAATAATCTATAATAATAATAAATAATTATTAATTGGTAATATTGATAGTAGTAATAATATAATTATTAATTGAAAAAATATATTAAAAAAACCAATTATAATATAAAAAATATTAAGAATTAAATATACTACTTTAATTGTTTCATATTTTTAAAATAGAATACTACTTTCTAAAATAGTCAAGCTATTGTTCAAATTAAGTAATAATATTATTAATATATTATTTTGATTATTGTTAATTATTATTATTATTGTTATTGTATTAATATAACCAATAATTATTATAATAATTAATTTGATTGTTAAGGATTAGATTATTATTATTAAAATAGATTTTGTTTATATTAATTATTATATAATGTTTTAGTTATATAAATTTGTTTTGATATTTAATATTATTTAATTAATTGAGTTTGAGATAATAATTAGTTAACAAAGTAAACTAATTATAGTTTTTGATAAGAAATTTTTTAAGTAAAATTTTTTTATTTTTTGTTATATAATATAATATATTGAATAATAATAAAAAATAAATATCAAATATATTGCTAGTTTTTTAAGTTAACAATATAAATAATTTTAATTTAAAGTTTGATTTTTTGAATTAAAAAAAAGTTTTTCAAAAAAAAATATGATTATTTAATAAAATTTATATATTAAAAGTAAAAATAAAAAGAATTCCAAGAAAAATTTGTAAAAAAGTAATTGTTACAAGTCTTTTTTCATGCAATTTAAAAAAAAGTAAAGTTTTTAAATTTATTTTTTTTTGATTAAAGGTTTTATTTTGATGTATAAATATACTTCTTTAATTTTCTTAAAGCTTTTATAATAAAAATAACTTTTAAATATTGAAAGGCAAAAAAAATATTTGTTTTTTTAATTTGAAAGAAATTATTATAAAAAAAAATTTCTTTAGTTTATAGATAGTAATTTTTGTATAAAAAATATAAAAAAAAAACTTGATCAATTAATAAAAAAAATTATTATTATTTATTAAATTAAATTATATTTTAATTTTTTATATAATATTTAAGTTTTGCAAAATATAATATTAATTTTTAATTAATCTATAGATTAATATTACAGTAAATAATGTTTTCAAATTCAAATATATATTTTTAGTTCAATATATAGTAATAAAATTTAGTAAATTCAAATCATTTAATTATAGCTGCTTAATATCATTTAACTATTATACTAGTTTACAATTTTTCTTTTAGTATAGGTTAAAAATACTTAAGTTAATTAATTTATTAAAGTAATAATTTAATTATTATTTTTAAAAAAAGATAAATTTTTATAAAACTTTTAGAATGTGTTATATATAATTTTGTTTATGTCTAATAAGTTAGTTACGAATTATTTATTTTGACTTTTTAAATGTAAATATACTATACAAATTTAATTGAATATTTTAATAAATATCCTATTCAACTCGAAACTATTTACTGTATATAATAGTTTGTTAGAATTTTTCAATTTTTTCTTGCTAATATACAATATATACTGTAGAATTAATATAATATTTATCTTTGACAATTATAATTGCATTTTCGTATTTAATTTTATCAAAAAATACAATCTTTCTTATTATATAATAAAATAGATGTACCGTATTTAAAAAGCAAGTTTGTCATTAAATAGATACATGTTTTTATGGTAATTATTTTCGAAAGCAGATAGAATCCTGTAGTTGTAATTCTAAAAAATTTTAACAACTCATTTTAAATATCATATAACTATTTAGATGGGAAAATCATTATTAAGTATCTCTCGAATGAATAAATATAAAGAAAGAATTAAACTTCCTTTATAAGTCGAACGCATTTAATATTTGTCGTATCAAGTTTATCGCACCGTTATCGGTATCGATATATCGAAATTCACAATGTAGAAAACATTGCATAAGCGTTATGCTCTGTTACACCACATACGTAAAACTTACATACTTTGTGCACAACAACAATGACAAACAATCAGTTAAGTAAGGTGGCTGTGTTTCGGGACATCAAGAGCTGGTGAACGTGTCACGAGTGCAACCAATTAATCTACAATCCGTATGGGAGTTGAAAATAGAGCGATCCTGACTGTTTGACCATAACTTTTTTAAAAAAAAAAATTTCTAGAGTGCATCAATCGCAATTAGATTTTCCCAAATTGGGAAAAGGGGAAAATTGCGCCTAATACGAAATATAAAAGAACACGATCGTGTTGAATTTGGCTCCTCATAATCTGAAACTATTTGTAATTTATTGACCGTAAAATTATGTCGGTGACGGGAAATAGTACCGAACAAACGACAGCAGATTCCTCTGTCTCAACATTTGTATCCTCGGCAGTTTTTAATGCTGCAGTCACAATCGGCGTATTCATCACATTTGAAATTGTGAGAAAACGAAATAAAAAGGTTTATGAGCCAAGAACATATTTAGTTTCGGAAAGGTAAGTTATTATAAACGTAGATTTCTATGTAATTCAATAAAAATTTATTTTCATAATTTAATACAGAAAACGTTCCGAGCCACTTCGGGGAGGTTTGTTAGGATGGCTATGGCCGACACTCAAGGCTTCTAATCAGGAAGTGATTAATCGAATTGGCCTAGATGCATTCATGTTCCTTAGGTTTATCAGATTATTCGCGATCATCTACGCAATATTCTCGATTATTGGCATAGGTATTCTTTTACCAGTTAATTATGTCAATCAGCGGGATTTACCAGGATTAAATTCCTTTACGATGGGAAATATAAAGGATTCTTACAGAATGTATGCTCACGTGATCGCGGCATATATTTTCAGTGGTAAAGTAACTTGGATGTTTAATAAGCGTTTTATTATTATAATTTTATGATTGCATTCTAATTTGACGCATAAAATGATTATAGCTACAACATTATATTTCCTACATCGCGAAAATTGTACGTACATTAGATTGCGCCATGAATACTTTACGACGCCTGAACATCGTATATCTCTCCGTGCCACCACCATTTTGATTTTGGGTATACCAAAGAATATATGTAATGAAAAAGATTTGAAAGAATTATTTGATATTTTTCCCGGTGGTGTAAAGCGGATATGGATTAATAGGTAAAACTTCGAAATTCCCAGCTTCTCGTTTTTCTGTTATCGTCTTCTTTCGTACATCCGTTTTCCCTGAACACATAATCTTGCGACCATCTTCAGAGACCCTGGAAATATCGCAAAACTTCACACTGCAAGAGAAAAGTTGGTTGTCAACCTTGAGGCATCCGAGACCGCATTGATTCGTCAATATGCAACTTACCTTGAAAAACAAGGTGGCAAAGGCGACGTTGAAGATGGTAAAAAAGTTCCCAAGGCTCTACGCCCAGTTCACCGGAAGACTCCGTTAATCGGTTCAAAAGTCGATTCGATTGAAACTTATCGTAATGAAATACAGACTCTTAACAAGAAAATTGGAGAAAAACTGATGGATATCAAGGATTTCAAACAATTGAATTCCGCATTTATTCAGTTCAATACTTATGTTGGCGCACAATTGGCCGCAAATTTGACAATTCCACGGTTAACAGATATTTCCCCTGAAGATGTTATTTGGGAAAACTTAAATATAACACGTTCGCAAAGATTGGTTAGATATTTCATCAGCTTTTCTATTTCATCTGCGCTTATACTACTTTGGGCTTTTCCTGGTAAATTCTCTTTTTTTCTTTTTTGTTCGATAGTGGTAACATATTATTCATATTTCTTCTATTTCAGTCGCATTTGTTTCCGCCGTAAGCACACTTTCGAAATTGAAAGAGGTCATTCCTTTCCTCCAACCACTGTTCGATAAGCTTCCTTCATCTGTGGTTGGTATCATTCAAGGTATATTGCCCGCCGTTGGCTTGTCGATTTTGATGATGGTGCTGGGTATAATTCTCAGAGGCAAGTTTTCGTTACAAGATGTGTTATAAATTCCCTTTTAAATAGTTTATATTTGACGTTTTTTATTTTACCTTTTAGTTTTATCGAAATTCGAAGGGATTGTTACTAATTCTGGCGTGACTTTAGGTCTTCAAAGCAAATACTATTTCTTTCTGGCATGTTAAATCTTGAATATTGAATCTTAAATTTAAATTTAAATTTATTATATACTAAATCAATATATTATATCGATTTTCTTAGGTCGTCAACATCCTTTTGGTCACAACGTTTTCCGGCGGAATCTTTAATGCTTTACCACCACTTATTAAAAATCCAACATCCGCAGTAGATATTCTTGCCGAAAATTTGCCTCTTACCTCGACTTTTTTCTTGACCTATGCTCTTCTTTCGATATCTGGCTCAGCATTAGAAATTCTCCAAGTTGGACCCTTGATTGTAAATATTTTGTTCAAAATGTTTTTGGTCAAGACCCCTCGTCAAGTTTGGAATCTTGAAAAAACTCTGACATCGAAGGATTGGGGTCTTTCCTTTCCGCCCCATATTTTGATGGCAGCAATCGGTAGAGAATCTTTGCTTATCATTTGTAAATGATCTTTTTTTTTGTACTTCGCTAACCAAATAATGAATGTTTAGGATTAGTCTTTTCGTCAATCCAGCCATTAATCTTGCCTATTGTGACAATCCATTTTTCTCTATACTACTGTTCGTATAGATACAACTTCATATATGTTTATAACCAGTTACATCAAAGTGGTGGACTCTTGTTCCCGAAGAGCGTCTTTCAATTTTATGTAGGAATTTACATATATCAATTAACCATGATCGGTCTAATGTTTATTAACACGGCCTACATTCCTGGTGTGTTAATGACGGTGTTATTTGGCCTAACGATTTCGGCAGTTTATGTCATGAGACAAAACTTCAAGCACAACCCACATGTTGATTTCCTTCCTGTTGATCTAATGGGAGTTATTGACATGAATACCGAACAAATAGTTGGATTAAAGAACATCGAAAATTTGAAAACTGGCTTGAAAACTGGAAAGGTGCCGTTAAAAACCTCAGAAGGAAGCACTCAAGAATACGAAATAACTGATAAGGCTGAAGGTGAAACAGATCCAGATGCATTTCACATTACTCATACCCAAGAAGATGAAGACAAGAGCGGAAAAGCATATGTGCATCCAGCACTTGTAGCTGAACAACCTGTTGTCTGGTTGCCTCAAGACTCTGCAGGAGTTAGTGAAGAAGAAGTGAACGCTTGCCGGGAGGAGGGAATAAAAGCTACGAACCAAGGAGCAATTTTAAATAAGAAGAATAGGGTTGAAGTGGATATTAACAATATACCAGATGGTTTAGATTTCTTAAGTGTGTTCAAGATTATACGCGATGACGACTTTCTACATTAGAACGGCGTTACGCAAAAATGTATATGTAATGTAATTTATTAAAAATTTCGATTCCAGATTTAATGATAGCGTCGGTGATATTATAGATGCTAGAATATAGGTTAAATTCGGATAAAAGTTTATATAATGTATGCTATTAAAAAATTCAAGTTGTATTTATTGTTATTAATAAAGGGATCTTTTGGGGAAAAAAATGAACAAGCGAAAATGTTTAATTTGGTTTTACAAATATTAATAAAAAAACCAATATATTATATACTTTTAATTATTAATTGAATAATACTTGCTTATTTGCATGTAAATAAGACAAATTTCCAAACGAAGTCTATTAGGCACATTTACTTAGAAATTTTGTTTTATAATCACTAATGGGAAAGTAAACGATCATCAGTAATAAAGAGATTTTGGAAACTTCAGAGTGAAAACTAAAATATTATGATGAAGAACAAGTTGATTGAGGAAAAAATCATTGCGCTAGAGGAAAAGGCAAAGGCGAAGGTTCGGAAGTTGCAGGTACTTCACTCATTCTCCTACAATTCAACGTGCTAGACCAAAACATTCACTCTTAAAATTACTAGAATTCATCGTAAGTTTATCTTTATCTTTACAGCTTTTGATTTTTCCTTTATTCATTCTGAATTAATTATGTAGATGGTCATTAAGGTGGAGTCAGAAAGTACCGTGAAAGTTGAACAAGTGACAAAGTTCGGATTTTGAAAAGAAAGTATTATGACATTATTCAAACGAAGCCATCGTCATTAAAGATC